TAGCAATCGTAGCGAGATTGCGGGTAGAGAATTTATCACTCAGCCACGTGCAATCAATCAAAACTGCCATAAATTGGAGAGTCATCGATTAACTTTCGTATTTATCAAAACCTTCGTACCTAACCAAAACCTAGTATGAATGTCGAACTGCCCCTAAACATTTCAGATATTGATCGGTAATGTATTACACTGCGTCTGTATGCCAGGCCATCAATTTCCCGGTCAGTGACGGTCGCTTACCGTCACATACGTCCGCTGAAAACACACGCATTTACAATAATCTGTCACACCTTTTAGTCTAAAATCTGTCACCCCTTAGTGGCAGTGTACCACGGGCGAGTTTCACATTTCTGCATGGATAAACGTTAATTTTCCTTCTGTGACGTCATAGTGAATCCTTACTAGGTTTAATATGTCCGGTAATCGTTATACACTTCTATCCTACGCACGCACCCCTGCGCAACAAGGAATCCGTCAAACCCGCGTGTCTATACTCAACCGACCTCCCATTTCCAACGCCCTCGCATGTTCTCTCGTACCCGGACGCAGCGGCCAAATAAGAACATACCAGGCATAGCGACCATGAGACTCTCAGACTGGCGCACTGAGGTGCGCATTTTAGGCACACTGATCGATGGGAGAACGTACGATACAGGAGCGCCTATAAGTATAAAGTGCACTCTCGTGTTGTATACAGACACACTCGCGGTCGTATCTCTCTGTATAGCAGGTAAAAACCGGGCGTCCTTCGGCGTATACTGGCTGTGCCCTCCGTACGCGCACTCGTTTTTAACGCGTATATGTCAAAATAAACCAATGCCTAGTTGTCTACAAAAGGCCTTACCCGGTTGTTTACAGTGGAAGGGTTCCGTCCACGTTGATTCTGTTACGGTTTGTCTGGCTGGTAATGGCGTTTAACTAGTCTTATTATGGGACGTGTCTGCCTAGTCGGCTGGGATAGGGCCGGGCGAGTTAGGCAGCTATTGCAGTGTAGATATATATATATATATATATATATATAGCGCAAAGAGGCGTGGCTAGATATTTACATGGGTTTTGGAATTCACGAAATAACAATAGACAGATACGTGGATAAACCATTATCGACTATACATTTTTTCCGCATTATGATAGTTTACGTTGATGCTTTTAATCCGTTCTTATTAATACCTACTTAATTTTGATATCGATGAATACATGTCGCGTGTGTCATTTTGTGTGGATGCAGTGCAATGCTCACTAAAACTAGAAGCTAGCTGTTACGATATCTCTACGCAGAATCTCCTAATTGCACAAATTTGTAGGTCTTGTAACTCGCATACATTCTATAAGATGCGCTATTCTTCACGACTCGTCCCGCTCTATTCACCGTCCACTGTATATTTACATCGTAACCATATTTGTTTAAAGAAACGTTTTCATCGCAATTAGGGATATGTAATCGATAAATCATATTGGTCAATGAGGACTTTCAAACTTTATTATTATTATTATACAGTTTAAATACCGTATAAAAATAATCGTCTACGGCATTAAACTTGACTTTACTATTACACGCGCACTCAAATGCAATCATCGACACGAGACGTTACTGCGGAAGCGTTCTTTGATGAAGTTATCATGGCTCAGGTTATCATGGATCATTGCTCTTGTGACTGTTAGCGTGGTACAAAAGGCACGCATTGTTTGGCAGCTGGCATTTCCGTGCTTGTCAGGTGCTTCCGTACAGCCGGTCACCGCAGTTGAAGTTTGTCACGGGATGTGAACGTACATGCACCTGTTTTTATCATTTTCCAGGCGGTTGAAGCAATGAAAGAATGAGATGATAGTTTCAACCGCAATTAATCGGTAAAGAGATATATTTACAAGTGTAGGAGCAGCAAGGCGAAGAGGAAACTCCAAGGAATGCCATACGTTGCCTCAAACATGATTTTCTAAAGAATAAAGCTACATCTGTAAGGATGCCAAAATCCAGCACGCGAACCGGTTGCCATGTGCTTTTAGCGAGTGTAGTGTTTTTCCTTTGCGCGCGGCTGTCCGTTGCTCAGGTAACCGGGGAGCCATCAGATGCAGCCGCGGAGACTGTCTCAAACAGGCCCGATGTTTTGGCTTGCTGCGCGGCCAATGGTGTGCCGGCGTTTTGCCTGCTGAAGATTTGCACATACGACCCCGATTTGTTCAGCGCGGAGAGCACTAACTCAACTCTTTATGTCTAAAGCGTGAATATTTTTTATTTGAAGCTGGCGTGCGCTATCGCAGGTTTTTCTTCCGAGTGATGTGTACGAAAGATTTCGCATAATTTTTAGGCTTGTTTGGACAATCACGCGGACGAGATCGAATGTTGTTAACGAGATGGTGATGATCATTTTCGCGTACGTGAGTGACAGCGGCTCTGCATCTCACCGATATCTCCGTGCTAGTTCGATCCAGATTCTCTGTGTGACGTGCGTGCACTGCTAAGTAGAACCCGGAAATCTATAGATCCCTTTGATCTATATAAATGGTCTCTCCGTATTGCTCAGTGATATCCATGATACAGTTGTCGTGACGTGAGGAAATGGAGGCGCAAATGTGAGAGATTTACAGAATCTCTACCAGGAAGATATATTGCTAATTTACTTCATGCAAGTAAGGCCACGTCTTTTTTCTTAGTTTATTATAAATTATAAACTTACATATCCAGAATGTAGTGAAAAAGAAAACAACTAGTTTCGGCATGCTTGATATAGTTGTTTGTTGTTGAAATGTAGTTTACTGTATTGATGGTTTTTAATTGATGTTTTAATCGATGTGATTGTGATAATGTAAAATGTTGTTAATTACGTTTAATAATGAGGTTGATCACGCAACTATAACGCTACGTGCTTGTTTTGGGGAAAGTTGAAATGTAGCCGACTTATAAGTGAATTACGGAAAAGTATAGAATAACGCTATAATTTCTCGAATGCTAATTCTTAGCCAAAATTCTATGTGTATGTTAAATATAATGGAAACTATTTTCTAAATATTGTACTGCAGAGCGTTCAACAACTTGTATAATCTTGTTAATACTCTTGGGATTATAACTATTATATACAACTCGAGATTTATATTCTTGTATATACTCTTGCTAATGCTCGAGCTAATACTCTTGTATATAACATTAAAAAAATGATTGATGACCATGCATAATCGATAATACCCTAAGAGATGAGCCAATGTGTGAACTGATTTGTCGATATTATCTAATAATGTATTCTCACGATGAGTTTTATGCGCGAATGAATTAATTGTAAGTGAAAAAAGTAATGAATGAATGTGTAATGAATTAAGCTGGAACGATTTAATCGTTAATCGTGGAATGTGTAATCCTACATAAAGACCATCGGAAGTATTTTTAGGCACGTGATGCAAACCCAAGGTTGTACGATATAGATAAAACAATATAAGCAGGTTGAAGGTACGCGACCAGACCATAGGCTGAAGACACTAAAATGACTAAAACCACCCACCAAACTAATTTAGAAGCGACCTGCATGTATGGACATTAAATATATATATTATTACCAAAATGATGCAGAATTTTTAAGCGGGGTGATATCTAGTTTCTAGAATGTATTCAGTGTATGGTATCATGACAAAATACCCATAAGTCCGTCCGTAATGCATTCGATATTTTAACCAATTATGTTAAAGTAACATTTGCTATTGCATCTAATAATACCCTGTTAATACTGGGGCCCGTTGTCAGAAACAAAATTGGTCTTAACATTAGTCATAACATTAACTTCCACTCGAAAACCGTTGACAGAAACATCGCAAAGTTACGAGAATAAAAAATCCTCGGAAATTTCCTCCTAACATTACGAGAGCCCAGACCCTCTCGTAACTTTAATATTAAGATGAAAATAATACAGTTACACTCAGAATTACAATTACAGTGATAGTATATTATATATTAATGAGTAAAATGTGTGTTTTTCTTGAAAAACACGTCGAAAGCATTAATTATCTACCGTTCGTAAACCAAAACAATACATTTACAAATGACGTATGGCATTTGTTCTCTAGTTTTAAAGGTTTTCCACGCTTGCCACGACTCTCACGTCTCGCGTTACAGCGTCTTACAGTGTGAGAGTTTGTCTTGTTGTGCAGAATAAATTTATGACCACGTCGTTTTTCATCAAATATTATTTATATGTAGTTAGCCATAATAATATGCATAAATTAGTGTGATGTACAATAAATGTGTATGAATTTGAATTTTGTGATCGATTCTCATCCAATCAGCAGCCTTGTGATGAAGTTCCTGTTATCGTAAGTTTTCTAATAGCTGCGATGTGTTTCTGTCAACGCTCCTATCGTACATTAACATTAGTCGTAAGTGTTATCTTAGCATTAACTTTACGATGTTCCTGACAACGGGCCCCTGGTGTATAATCTGTAACAGTATAGCATATTTATTTTTTGGTATAAACATAACTATGTATTGCATTAAAAGATTACAGTTAAAATTCTCAATCGCTGCTCCTAATGTCGTGTGTTTGTTGGTAATTTCGTTTCTTAGTTACGTTTTTAGGAGATAGTTAATTATTTACTTTGGTTAATTTATCCGGTATACACATGCATTTTATAATATGCATAAACGACAAATTAAATATGAAGAAAGCAGCAACGTGCGAAGGTTTGCCGTGCTTAAATATACATGCGTGCTGGGATAATTGTTAGCGTGGTTCAAAAAGCACGCATTGTTTGGCAGCTGGCATTTCCGTGCTTGTTTTGTTTATAGCCGGTCACCGCAGTTGAAATTTGTCACGGGATGTGAACGTACATGCACCTGTTTTTATCATTTTCCAGGCGGTTGAAGCAATGAAAGAATGAGATGATAGTTTCAACCGCAATCAATCGGTAAAGAGATATATTTACCAGTGGAGAAGCAGAAAGGCGAAGAAGAAACTCCAAGGAATGCCATACGTTGCCTCAAACATTATTTTCTAAACAGTAAAGCTACATCTGTAAGGATGCCAAAATCCAGCAAGCGAACCGTTTGCCATGTGCTTTTAGCGAGTGTAGTGTTCTTCCTTTGCACGCGGCTGTCCGTTGCTCAGGTAACCGGGGAGCCAACAGATGCAGCCGCGGAGACTGTCTCAAACAGGCCCGATGTTTTGGCTTGCTGCGCGGCCGCCAAGTGTGCCGGCGTTTTGCCAGCTGAAGATTTGCACATACGACCCGATTTGTTCAGCGCGAGAGGCACTAATTAACTCTTTGGCGATCCATATTTCGACAAGGCTGTGACATGTTTTGCGGATGCAGGGATCACTCTAGTTGCTGCCGGTCGCGGGGGTCGCCCACGAATGTGTCAAGTACTGTGACTTATCGCTGTTGGTACCAAAGCAGGAGTGTATAACCGAGTTTGATAAGATCAAATTGTGTTTTGAGGAGAATTACGAGATTCTTCCTGGACCACCGATCAACATTGCCGCGAGTAACATCACTGGGTTCTCGGCTATGATATCCTGGGACAAGCCAGCGAGGCTGGCGAGTAGCGTGACGTCATACAGTATCTCTTATAAAGATATTCTTCGCAGCCCGACGTCCGTACACAGCTGAACGCGTACGTCATCGTTCACAATGTCACCTCGCCTCACGCACTTGCAGGGCTGGCCGGCGACTCCCTTCACAAGGTGTACATGATCGCTTACAATGCACACAGGCAGCAGCCTACCGTCCGATATCCTACAATTCGCACACAGGAGCTTCAGCCGTAGCGGCAACAACACGATTCCTTTCAACTCCTCTCCTGCCGGTGGAACATTCGGGAGAAATCCCGGTCCTGCCAGAGCGAAATCGACGTACACCCCCATTGACGCGCCTCCACAACGTCTCCGCGTGCTGCATCCAACGCGCAACGTGTCCGCGAGGTGTCACCACTTGTGCAGCTACGACGCTACGGCTAGCGAGATCAGTAGGATCCGGGCGCTGTGTGCTGACGACCTGGACACTCTCTTCGAGTGTTGGTCGGACGGCAGAGATCACCGGCAGTGCTGCCGCGACCGCGGATGGTGACGCGCTGCGTGAGGCGTGCGGCGCGAACGTCTGCACAACATTCACCGCCAGCGCTGCAATAACGTCAGCGCCGACATCCTGCAGTGCTTCGAGGAGGGACTCGACATACTGCCGAAGGCGGCCGAGCGCGTTCGCGTCGAAGAGCTCAACTCACCTGGCTGCAGCTGGCGTGGAACCCTGCGCGGGACAGCCCGGAACATCACCCAGTACAACGTGTTCCATTACCATGGCAACTCGGCCACGCAGCCGGACAGTGGCGCCTTCATGTACGTGACGATTCCGCCGGTCACCACGTCGTACATGTTTACGGGGTTGCAGCCGGGACAGATGTACGTGCTGCACGTACAGTCCATGAACGCACACGGCACGAGCCTACCGTCGTACGCTCTGGAGGTTTGGACGCCGCCGTTGGAGGACAGTGACCACAATCTATCGCCCAGGCGGCTGCAGTTAATCGATGCTGGCGTTGGTAATTTGACAGTGACATGGCAGCCACCCATCAAGCAACTACCTGTCCACTACATCGTCCGCTACAAGCAAGTTAGTCTTCAGCCTTCTAGTAACGTCTCCGCGTTGAACGACACCGCCTGGTATCAAGTGAAGCTAGCCGGTTACAGAACGAACCTGACCATCGACAATCTCGACCAGGACACCAAGTACGACATATACGTATCAGCGATAAATTCCGAACAGCGCGTAGCCGATTCGCCGCACATTCTGTCCCGTACGATAGCCAAGAAATCACCGCGCGTGCGAATCGTCGCCATCTTGCAAACAGGAGCGAGTGTTCAGCGACAATCCGGGTTCGGTGCTGCAAGTGGCCGAGTACACTCGCGTCGAGCTGCGTTGTCGTAGTTGGGCGACACCCGTCGCAAATGTCACGCTGTTGCACAACAACGCGACACTCATGCAGGCCGTCGATAGCGTCATCCTGCCGATTCTTCTACGCCGGCACGACATCGGAAACTGAAGTGCTACGCCGACAACGGCGTGCGCCACGAAGGCACGCCAATTTACCGTCCGCGTGATATCGGGCCCGAGGTTAGTTCCGTTAAGGAGCAAGTGGCGAAGAGCATAGGTGAACTGGGAGGCTAAAGTGCATCATATCAGTGTTCCCGCCCGCGCCCGACGGGCTTTCATATGGAGTATCAGAGCAAGGTTTCGCCTCGCTGGCAGCGCGTTAGGGACGATGACCGCAGACACGTCGCTCTGCGATCCACCGATGTGCCCTACCAGCAGAACTTCGAGCTGCGAATACGGGCAGTTCAAGACGTCGACCTCGGTCTCTACCGATGCGTAGACGTGACGGGAAAGAATTCGGCCTCCGTCTATTTATCCGTTGACGATGCGACGCCGGCGCCGGCAAAGGACCCGAGAAACTTCCAGCAGTGTTGCAGAGAACTAGGCATCCACGTCAACTGCATCCCGGCCTGCTCGTACGACTGGTGGCTATCGCCGAGCGAGCTTCCCCGGGACGTGCTCGAGGGATGCCTCTCCGGCGACGACAACTTCAACCTCGTAAAGCTGGTAACGTGCGCTGCAGACGGAAAGAACCACGAACCGTGTTGCGCGCGGAAGGGCGTTCCCGACTCGTGCCTCCCCTTCTGCCGTGGCGCGATTCCCGTCGAACACCACCGATTCAGGCACTGTCTCGTATACTACGAGAAGATGGCGACGTGCATGAAGGAGGGGAATTCCGTGCTGCCCGGTCCGCCGACGCAGTTGATCGCGAGCCGGTGCAGACAACATGGTGCGCCTGCACTGGGACGCGCCTCTCCACGGCTACAACTCGGACAGAGTGACCTTCTATCAGGTGCTCTACCGCATGGTGGGCGATGCAGAGTTCACGCGACTACCGAGGAACATCACGTCGCCGAGTTGGAGCGTCTCCGGTTGAAGCCGTCCACGCAGTTTCGAGTTCATGGTGCAAGCCGGCAACGAGGACGGCCTCAGCCAGCCATCCGCCGTCATCCAGGTAGCAACAGGCACGGACACCATACCCGAGAAGCCGCGCCGCAGCCGCGGTAATCCGCACTGGGTCATGCAGCTCGCCGTCGGTCTCGTCGTCGGCGCTATCGTCATCATCGTTATCGTCGCCGCCGTGCTGTTCCTGCTGCGGCGGCAGCGGCGTGCGAAGGAGAGCGCCGGATCGGTCACCTTCGAGAACCCTGGCTACGACAAGAACGCGGACGAGTCGGCGGAGAACGGTGGTCATGGTAACGGAAACGCAGACGGTTGGTTCCGTCCCGAGCTCACGACGGGCACGACCGACGACGAGGCAGTCATTGTCGAGAATTCGTATCCGGTCGATCGTCGCAACCAATCGCCGGCGCGCAAAACGATCACGTGTACGAATCGGTGGACGCCACCGCGAAACAAGATGGCGACGAACTTGCAGCGGGTGATGTGTCTAAAGCGTGAATATTTTTTATTTGAAGCTGGCGTGCGCTATCGCAGGTTTTTCTTCCGAGTGATGTGTACGAAAGATTTCGCATAATTTTAGGCTTGCTTGGACAATCACGCGACGAGATCGAATGTTGTTAACGAGATGGTGATGATCATTTTCGCGTAACGTGAGTGACAGCGGCTCTGCATCTCACCGATATCTCCGTGCTAGTTCGATCCAGATTCTCTGTGTGACGTGCGTGCACTGCTAAGTAGAACCCTGAAATCTATAGATCCCTTAGATCTATATAAATGGTCTCTCCGTATTGCTCAGTGATATCCATGATACAGTTTGTCGTGACGTGAGGAAATGGAGGCGGCAAATGTGAGAGATTTACAGAAACTCTACAAGGAAAATATATTGCTAATTATCTTCATGCAAGTAGGCCAGCGTCTTTTTCCTTAGTTTATTATAAATTATAAAACTTACATTCCAGAATGTAGTGAATAAGAGAAAGAAAAGACAACAATAGTTTCGGCATGCTTGATATAGTTGTTTGTTGTTGAAATGTAGTTTACTGTATTGATGGTTTTTAATTGATGTTTAATCGATGTGATTGTGTAATGTAAAATGTTGTTAATTACGTTTAATAATGAGGTTGATCACGCAACTATAACGCTAGCTGCTTGTTTTGGGAAAGTTGAAATGTAGCCGACTTATAAGTGAATTACGGAAAAGTATAGAATAACGCTATAATTTCTCGAATGCTAATTCTTAGCCAAAATTCTACGTGTATGTTAAATATAATGGAAACTATTTTCTAAATATGTACTGCAGAGCGTTCAACTACTTGTATAATCTTGTTATACTCTTGGGATTATAACTATTATATACAACTCGAGATTTATATCTTGTATATACTCTTGCTAATGCTCGAGCTAATACTCTTGTATATAACATTAAAAAAATGATTGATGACCATGCATACGATAATACGCCTAAGAGATGAGCCATTGTGTGAACTGATTTGTCGATATTATCTAATAATGTATTCTCACGATGAGTTTTATGCGCGAATGAATTTTCGGAATGAAACTTATTTATTGCGGTGAATATGCTGGAACGATTTAATCGTTAATCGTGGAATGTGTAATCCTACATAAAGACCATCGAAGTATTTTTAGGCACGTAATGCAAACCAAGGTTGTACGATATAGATAAATCAATATAAGCAGGTTGAAAGTACGCGACCAGACCATAGGCTGAAGCCACTAAAAGGACTAAAACCCCCCACCAAACTAATTTAGAAGCGACCTGCATGTATGGACATTAAATATATATATTGTTACCAAAATGATGCAGAATTTTTAAGCTGGTTGATATCTAGTTTCTTAGAATGTATTCAGTGTATGGTATATGACAAAATACGCCATACGTCCGTCCGTAATGCATTCGATATTTTAACCAATTATATTAAAGTACAATTGCTATTGCATCTAATAATACTGATGTATAATCGTAACAGTATAGCGTATTTATTTTTTGGTATAAACATAACTATGTATTGCATTAAAAGATTACAGTTAAAATTCTCAATCCCTGCCTCTTAATGTCGTGTGTTTGTTGGTAATTTCGTTTCTTAGTTACTTTTTAGGAGATAGTTAATGATTTACTTTTGTTAATTTATCCGGTATACACATGCATTTTATAATATGCATAAACGACAAATTAAATATGAAGAAAGCAGCAACGTACGTGGGTTTGCCGTGCTTAAAATTATATATATGCGTGCTGGGATGATATACTTACGCCTGAAGTTCGTTTAGTACATTGTATGTTGTATATGTATGTCTATCAATCTCTCTCTTTCTCTCTCTCTCTCTCTCTCTCTCTCTCTCTATATATATTATATCATATATAATATATATATATATATATATATATATATAATATTTATATATATATAATATATATGTGTGTGTGTGTGTGGTGTGTGGTGTGTGTGTGCGCGTGTGTGGTGTGTTGGCCGTGTGCGTGTGCGCATGCGTGCGTGTGCGTGTGCGTGTGGCGTGTGCGTGTGCGTGTGCGTGTGTGCGCGCGCGTGTGTGTGTGTGTGTGTGTGTGCCCATGAGTGTGCGTACATGCCGGTGCGTGCGTACGTGCGAGCGCGTGTTCGTAGTACGTTGACGTGTCCGTACGTTGTGCTTCGTGTGTGTTACTGTTGCGTTGTTTTTCGTATATGCTCGTGTGCATTGCATAATAGTAGGGGCGAAGGCTTCTTGCACATTACTGCGCGCCTGCACTGATTCAGTGACTCACTTCATCGGGGTTGTAAGCACCATGCAGCTGTTGCGTGTCAGGAACAGTTGCACTCGCCACTCACATCTCAAGGCCGAACCTAGACCGCGCTCGGAAATTTTCATCTAAAAACTCGCAATTTTCCGTTCGTTATAATCTAGAATGCCGTGCGTACTTGCATGCTTCCCAAAAACATCTTAATAACTCGTTTTTACCAAGACGCAGTGATCGGCAATGCTTACGATACTTTCCATGCTGCTTGTGATGTACTATTAGTGGATTTCCCAGTTATTTCCTTCGGGGGGAAGGGGGGGGGGTACTATTTCTGAGGTTATTATAGGTCAGCCTCTTAAACCACTGTCTGAGAGAAAAATAACGACTGATATATGAAATCGGATTTCAACTCATCTGATAGTGAGTGGGTTTCTCAATTAGGTACATGTACGCGAGGCAGAAATAGAGGTCGTCGATTCCATATACATATATGTATATCAATAATTTTTGGCGGCTCACAGCGTTCTGTATAGACCGTAACTTGGTGCATATAGCGATTTGTGAATTTAGCTATATATTAAACGTGAATATTTAATGGCTTGGACGGGGCAAGTTCGTTTTTAGGTGGCAATAGTCAGATGAAACTACGGTGGGAACGTAGCTAGAATTATTCATGTATTTAGAGGTCACTCTTTAATCTCTATTATACATTTTATTTTATATCGTTAATGAAGTTTTATATCGATCATGAGCGATACGTATGAAGATATACTATAGCAAACAATAATATAAATAATAATGTAAACGATTGAAATGAGAAATAATTCATATTTCTGATTTTCATTCGATTTCATAAGACGCTTACGGGGCTATGATTAAATATCTATATTCGCGTAAAACCGCGTACCACGTTTGGTCACAATATTTCACTCACTCGAATGGCGACGAACTTGCAGCGGGTGATATGTCTAAAGCGTGAATATTTTTTATTTGAAACTGGCGTGCGCTATCGCAGGTTTTCCTTCCGAGTGATGTGTTCGAAAGATTTCGCATAACTTTTAGGTTTGTTTGGACAATCACGCGGACGAGATCGAATCTTATTAACGAGATGGTGATGATCTTTTCCGCGTACGTGAGTGACAGCGGCTCTGCATCTCACCGATATCTCCGTGCTAGTTCGATACAGATTCTCTGTGTGACGTGCGTGCACTGCTAAGTAGAATCCCTGAAATCTATAGATCCCTTAGATCTATATAAATGGTCTCTCCGTATTGCTCAGTGATATCCATGATACAGTTGTCGTGACGTGAGGAAATGGGGGCGCAAATGTGAGAGATTTGCAGAATCTCTACCAGGAAGATATATTGCCAATTTACTTCATGCAAGTAAGGCTACGTCGTTTTCCTTAGTTTATTGTAAATTATAGACTTACATATCCAGAATGTAGTGAGAAAGAAAACAACTAGTTTCGGCATGCTTGATATAGTTGCTTGTTGTTGAAACGTAGTTTACTGTATTGAAGGTTTTTAATTGATGTTTTAATCGATGTGATTATGATAATGTAAAATGTTGTTATATACGTTTAATAATGAGGTTGATCACGCAACTATAACGCTACGTGCTTGTTTTGAGGAAAGTTGAAATGCAGCCGACTTATAAGTGAATTACGGAAAAGTATGGAATAACGCTATAATTTCTCGAATGCTAATTCGTAGCCAAAATTCGACGTGTATGTTAAATATAATGAAAACTATTTTCTAAATATTGCACTGCAGAGCGTTCAACTACTTGTATAATCTTGTTAATACTCTTGGGAGTATAACTATTATATACAACTGAACTCGAGATTAATACTCTTGTATATACTCTTGCTAACCATAACAAAATGATTGATGACCATGCATAATCGATAACACCCTAAGAGATGAGCCAATGTGTAAACTGATTTGTCGATATTATCCAATAATCTATTCTCACGATGAGTTTTATGCGCGAATGAATTTTCGGAATGAAACTTATTTATTGCGGTGAATATGCTGGAACGATTTAATCGTTAATCGTGGAATGTGTAATCCTATATAAAGACCATCGGATGTATTTTTAGGCACGTGATGCAAACCCAAG